TAGATTAAACAACAACTAGAGGACTTTGGAATGACTATGCATAATATACCAATACTTTGTGATAACAAAAGTGTAATTAATATCTCAAAAAATCCAGTTCATCACTCAAAAACTAAACACATTGAGATTAAACACCACTTTGTTAGAGACCATGTGCTTAAGGGAGACATTAAGATTGAATTTTTCAACACCCTTCATCAATTAGCTGATATATTTACCAAACCCTTAAATGAGAAAAGATTTTGGGAAATTAGGAGGAATCTGGGAATGCCTAGTGTTCATGAACTGTAAGAAAATTTTTCTTGGGAAAACAGTATATACTTAGTTGATCAAGAGCTTCACTTAGTCGACTAAGAGCATTCTGTTTCTTCTAGAAAAAGACATTGACAGTAAAGGGCAAGACTTGACTTGATAGTAAGGCCCAAGTTAAATTAAACTTAAAGAAATAAAAGGAGAAAAATGGGTAAAGAAAAGACAGAGGAAAATTGAACCAAAAAATTGAAAATGGAAGGAAAACTCTAAATTTTTAAATAAAATTTTCTTTTACATCATTTAAAAGGGTCTGACATTTTCTTGGGAGAAGACTCTTCTCTTAACTCTCTCTCTCAACTCACTCTCTCTCTTCTAAAACTGTCTTCCCAAAAAACAAAACTTATCTCTCCAAAATCTCTCAAACCCTAAAACCTAAAACCTCCAAATCAATGGCAAAATCTTCCATGTCCAAGGATGCTTTGGAAAAGAAGAGAGGAAAATGACCCATAGAAGAAATCTCACATTTCAAAACTCAAAAAAGAGAAAAGAAGATGAACCGGCATCAGTGGCTATAAAGAAACAAAAAATAGAGAAGAAAAAAGATAATGGAAAATCTGCAACGAAAGGTAAATCTTCATCTCTGAAGTTTAGAAATAAAGCCCATGAAGATAGGTTCAGAAAGATCGAAAATGCACCCATTTCTTGTGGGAAATTCATTGACTAGGACAGTTTTAACAAAGTTCTAGAAATTAAAGAAGGATTATTAGAACACTTTGAAGAAATGAGATTAAGGGGGTTTAGTGTCTTTAAGAATAGAGCTTATAGTGCCAGTTTAGTGAAAGAATTCTATGCAGGAATTGCACAAGGTAGAGATGAATTAGTTGACCCTAAAGTGTTTGAGGATAACTGTCTTAATGTCTACTTGAATGGGAAGGAGTTTGTGATTTCTGCTACTAATTTAGGCAAATTATTGAGTATAGAATGCAATGAAGGAAATTTTTAAATTCCTGAGGATTATGATCCTTCATTCTTGTGGGAGATGATCACCAAAAAAGTTGAGAGATTCTCCTCTATAAGCTAAGCTAGCTTGATCAAAAGCCCCCAAACCCGAATACTGCATTATTTCATAGCCTCAACAGTCCATGGGAGAGGAGGCAATTTCAGTTATGTAAGCTTGCAAGACCTATAGATGATGCAATTTGACTTTAATGCACATGCCTTTAATTTAGGGAAGTTTATGATTGAAAGAATTAGAGGGACATGTAGAGTTGATAAAATCCATCTGCCCTATGGAAATGTAATTACCTCCTTGGTCAAGAGAAAGGGAATCTGAAGCTCAAGGTATGAAATTGATCAAGTAAAAAGCAGGGACCAAGCTTTCTGTCTAGGAAGTTTATCCAAAATGGGGTATAAGTCATATGGAGAGACTTTTTTCAAGACCCCCAAGGGAACTCAGAAAGGTGAACAAGACACTTCCACTCAAGCAAGACCAACACCCTCTCAAATCTCAAATGAGATGGTTCTGAACTTTCTCATGAGGATAGATGGGAAGCTAACTGATCAAGGCATAAGAATAGAGAAAATTGAAAAAAAGCTTCAAGAGTTGAGAACTCTGATGAAAGATAAAAGGAAAACTCCTTCGGGGTCTACAACTGAGCATGCTCCTACAACACCAAGTCCAGCAGAGCAAGTAAATGAGAGTCCCAATCAAACTGAAGGAAAAGAGGCAGAACAGGGTCAAGCAAAGAAAATGCACAATGAGGAATCAGAATTTGTGGAGAAAGACAGCACACACACAGAGGTGATTGGATCTCCACTACATGAGGGTACACAAGAAGCAGAGTCTTCCTCACCAAATTCTAAAGAAGTGTTCATCATGGATATCTTTCAGCAGATGGTGAAGGAGGAACGAGCTGAAAATGAAGCAGCCAAAGCGATAGCATGAAAACCAGCACCTACACTAAGATCTCCAGAATCTGTTCAGAAAGGTGATCAGACTGAGAAACAGAAAAAGGAAACTACTGTACCTCCACCAACTGCAACTGCACCTACTGGCAAAGGGAGAAAAACCAAGGCTACCAAGACCAAGTTTCCCAAAAGAAGAATGTCATCTAAGAGAGCTGAAACAGCTAAACTTCCTTCAATCAAATCTACTGTCCATGATCCTCTCCCAATCTCGGATACCTCCTCTTCTGACTCTTCATCCCAAGAATCC